CAATGGACCCTTTTCACTTCCTAGAGTATCTTTTGGCTCCATGGAATCTTCTTCCACCTGTTTTGGTGATTGAGATGTACCTGCCGGCTCGGTAGAAGGTTTTCTGTACATGTAAGAATACGTTTCGCTCAGTGTAAAACCCTAAAACAAATACGCCAAAAAGGACTCTTAAGGTACCATGTAAGTAAACTTATTTCCCCTTTAAATAGCAGAACTGTTACGAGAATATCTATCACTTACGGTTCAAGGGGACTAGCCATGCTCGTTGAAGTTATCTGTTGCGCCATGAAGACCATTCATTCTTAGAACCGATTTGCAGAAAAATCAGAGAAGCAAATAGAGAATTTAAAACTTCAAAGACCTTCATGCTTTTACTTGTCTTCTTCTTGTTTTTTGCCTGTGCCTTCTTCTTCTCTTCTTTGAGTAAAAGATCTGCTTCTGCTGCATCTGACTTGACTTTGGATTCCGTATTTACAATCTCATTCTAGATGACATAACGACATGAAAACATATGAGAAACCACTCAAATGAGAGCTCTCAGTAAAAAGTTTTAAACCAACCAGCAAGAAAAGGTTTTAGCAATTGAATCTTTTCTTTTGGTTACTGCTTTACCTTTACCTTAGAACCTTCTTGCGGTTCAAGTATGACAGAAGTTTTTCTGTACATGTACGAACAGGTTTTGTTCAGAGAAAACCAGAAAACAATTTAACAACACGCAAAAGACTATTGAGCTACTTACTGTTTAGCAGTCTTATCAACAGGCTTAGCCATGCTCTTTGAAGTTGTCTGTTAAGCCCATTCATTCTTAGAACTGATTAACCGAAGAGTCACAGAAGCAAATAGATAATTTAGAACTTCAAAAAACCTTAATGCTTTTCTCTTTTTGCGTCTTTTCGGCCAGTGACTTCTTCTCCCCTTTGAGTGACTTCTTCCCCTCTTTGAGCAAAAGCTCTGCTTCTGCTGCATCTGACTTGACTTTGGATTCCATATCTACAATCTCACCCTACATGATAAGAGACAATTCAAATACCAAATTAGCCGGCAAATCAAAGCTCTCTGTGTATAAAGAAAGTTTCAAACCTACCAGCAAGAAAGGTTTCAGAAAATGAAACATATAAGAGCGGTTGTCAAAAGCAGAAAGCCTTGTGAGGTTGTTTAGCAGACTAATCCTTGAATTATCAATCAGCAATATCTTTGCATCGATTAGCAGAACCTACAAGTCATGTAGATAATTTTAGATAGACTATTTTCTGTTTATATGATGCTGTTAAAGAATATATTAAAATCATGAACGAACCTTTTCGGTGACCATTGATTTCAGAACGTCAATGGACTTCAACACTGTATCATTGCTGAGACTTTTAGGCTTGCGTATAAGATTCATGCAAACTAGTAAGAAGGGAAGATCATATGTAGAATGCATAGCTGCTCCATCTTCGTGTAAAACATCTCGTACTGCACACAAGAATAGTGCTGAAGTGACTAAACTTTCAGTGGCTCTCTCTTCGGATCTCTTTCGGAGAAGAGATTCATAGCTGTTCCTTTGATCTTCATGCATACACAAGGTCTCCACGTCAGTAAGAGCTGCTTCGTAATCTAACACCTGCTTTTTCTTTTCATATTTGGTTACCAAAGCTCTACATGTGTACTGAAGAGCCCTCAGAACAGCCACCCATATATCGAGATTGTGTTCCCTGATAGGTTTTGGAAAGCTCTTATCCGCTGAAGAGTAGTCAACTAACCAGGATATCATACCATCTCCCTGAGCCTGTGCGTTGGCATCAGATGGAGCATTATTTCTTTTCAACAGTCTTTTATCCAAAAGCAGCAATGAAAACTCCTCGTCAAATTCGAGACTTTCTTTAATTCCAATACGTTCCAACAGACTGTCCACTGCCTTGCAAACATGATCTGTACCATCATGCCTTTCACACTTGATCTTCTTTAGAAAGTCTCTGATGTGACTGAGCTCATCACGTTCCAGAAAACAGATGCTCTGTGGTGTTTCCACTAGGTGACACTCCTTAATACTCTCTTCTGAAACTTCAAGTTCCCGAAGTTGCTTAACCGGAAAACTCATCACCCAGTCTCGAATGCTGAAAGAGAGAATCTGATGCTGACAGAGCAACACAAGGAGTAATTTTATTTCCTTGAGTAAACCACTCCGCTCTTCATCCTCAGCTAAAGGCCATTGGTCTGACCATCCCTTTTTCCTAGATCTAGTTGTAAAAGCTTTTACATCTGCGAGCTGAGTTTTGATCATTTCAACGGCAGCGACTGTATCCAGAGGTTTCCAAGGCCCATTCTGTACCTTATCAACCCAGTTTCTCCCTACCCTCTTGACCATATCCAAAGAAGTTTTAAAATCTACATCATGTTTCTCTTCAAGATGAGTCTTGCAATCCTCAACACTAAAACACACCTTATCACATTTAGTTCGACACACCCATACTGTCCATGACTTGTGTTCCCTCGCAATACCAAGAACGTCTTCAAAAACATCTAGTCTCTCTTTTTTATGCACACCCTTAACAAAACCTCTAAGCTTCTCAATGCTTACATTCATAAAACCTCTCTTGACATTAACATCTAACCCCTTCCAAAACGACCTCAACACACCAACCCTACCCTCAACCCGCGGCGGCTCTTGACCCTCCTCCGACTCAATAGGTCTCGGCCTGTAGTAGTTTACTATAGTCTGATTAGACCCGGATAACTTGACCCTCCACTCAGCCTCTTTGATGATTCTCTCAAACTTTTCCTTATCTTTGGCCTCGAGTGAGTGAGAAGCAGCTAAAACCTTTACACCACCGCGAATGCATTTCTTGAGATAGAGCACTGATCCAAGAGAGTTACCCAATAGGCGAAGGACGCATGTGCTTTGCATCGTTGTCCTCTCATCATCTTGTGTGGAGCATCCTAAAGCACCCAAGAAGTAGGTGACCTCCATGTCCTTGGTCTCTGATTTTTTCATCGCGAGACCCGAGAATATAGTGGCTTCTTCGAGTAAAAGACGCACTATGTTGTGCTTGTCTTCTTCACTGTGGAGTGAGATAACACCGTGAACTATCTCCAAGGCCTGCCTGTAGTCTTCCTTTTCTTGGAGAGCTTTAGCCTTGACTAAGAGTAACACCTCCTTTGTATCCATTGAAGACGACTCTCTCTCTCTCAAGGTTCTTGCAACTTTCTTGGAGAGTTTTTTGTTTTTCTTCTTCTTGAGAAGAGAAGAAGAAGCGCGAAAGATAACAGAATGTAACAGCTTTTATCACGTGAGTGCCACGTGATGAGAAAAAAAACAGAATATTAACAGCAACGGACTCAAGAGGCTGGCTTTTATCACGTGAGTGGCACGTGATGAGAAAAAATAAATAGCTGAGGCCCAATATTGGCCCATTGGGGAATTGTGTCGAACACCTTGTGTGCATGTTTTTTTTCTCTTGACATTGGTATACACACAACCACGCTTCGAATCTCGGGATAAACCAAACAGTAAGAAAAACACAAAACACGTGTGCATCTTTGAGTTTGATTTATATGCAGAATCAGGCAGAAGACTTGAACGGAAAATCGTCTTCATGTGTGGGGACGAACAAGTGTGTCAAGTACCACGAAATATAGCACGTGACTTTTCTTAATGGGCTTTCTCTCTCGTTTCTTAGGCCCATCCTATATACTATCTCATCCTATATATTAGATATTTTAGCCCATCCTATATACTATCTCATCCTATATATTATATACTAGGTGATTTCCTGTGCTCATGCACGGATATAAATATTTTTAAAGTAAATATATAATAATAATTTACTACTATTTAGTTTTAATTTTAAATTAATTTATAACTTGTATACATCATTTATATTAATAGTATTATATTACTTTACTTATACTGTAATTTTATATATGTTATATCTAGTCGGTTTTGTTGTTTTTACGGTTGGTTTAGTTATCATTTGGATAAATTGGATTGACGTCTCTGAATTCAACTTTAATATTTTTAAAATATATTAATTTTTAATTAGTTACTTATTTGCATATGGTGGGTGTTGTCTTAGATATGTAAATATATTTTAGGAAAATTATGTATAACTTAAGATATATTGTGCTTAGAATGAATTAAAAATTAACTAAAGTGTCTTATTCCAAAATACGTAAATTAATATAACGATAATATTCTAAAGTCTCATAGATATATATAAATTTTACAAAAGAACTAAAATTGTAAGAGTTGGTTAATATATATTTTCATTTGTTAATATGTTTTGAGTTATCCTATGATCAATAGAAGGTTACATGCATAAATAGTTGATACATTTTTGGAAGCTCATGAACACATATCAATATTTACAATAATTAAAGTATTTATAAATTCTAAATAACTTTATGCTTTAGATTTATTGAATGTAAACTGAAATTTATCTTAAATAATCTTAAATTGAGAATTCAGATTTGCTTTGATATTTTGATTATGGTTATATTTAGTTTCACAAACNAAACATAAAAACATAAAATTTAAAAGAAAATTTAATATTAAAAAAATAAATAATTTTAATAATGATAAAATATCATATATCTAGCTCATTAGAACAATTATTTTGATCAAGCGATGTTTATTGTTAAATTTATTTTTAGTTTTTAATATCTCTTAAAAATAAGCACTATACAAAATTGTGATTGTATTTGAAAATAATAATATATAAATAATATATAATTTATAGATAATTTTCTGTAATTGAAAGATATTATAGTCAACTATATATATGAAAATTTTTATAATAATTGATTGATATAAATTATTTTATTACTCTAAAAGTATATTTTATGTTTCTTAAAAATATTTTTAAATGTATTATTACTATTTTTTGAACTTTCCTTTTTATGAAATTATATTATAAATACCTATATTTTTATGTTATTTATGTTATTTAAAAATATTTTTAAATGTATTATTACTATTTTGTCAACTTTCTTTTTTTATGAAATCATATTATATACATATATATTTCGATTTAAATTTGTCTTTTATGACTATAAAATTTCCTTTTTATTACATATCTTTTTGGAAATTTTTGAAAAAGAAACTAAATAAAAAACTAATAATACATTAAGGGTATCAATGTAATCAACCATCGTGATAATGAACGTGAGAGCGACACATAGGAAACTGACTTCTCAAATAATATTATAGAGATTTTCAGAACGCAAATATACTACTCCCTCTCTCTTTCAAAAAAATTAGATATTTTAACTTTCTTACATATATTAAAAAACATATGAAATTTTGATTACCAATGCATCTTTTTTTGTATTTAACAATTTATCATTAACTATTACATTAAAAGTGTAAAAAATTATCTTTTTGAAACATATATTTTTTCTAGAAAATGGCTCGTAAACAGAGGGAGTATAATATTTGATTACTATTTTATTTAATTTTAATTAATTTATAATTTGTATGCATAATATATACTAGTAATATTAAATTACTTTAAATAGGCATATTATTTTAGATATGTTATATCTAGTCGGTTTTATTGTTTTTACAGTTGATTTAGTTATTATTTGAGTTTATTGGATTACTTATAATTCTCTGAATTCAACTATAATATTTTTAATGCTAAATCTATTTAAATTTTAATTAATTTTCTTATTTGCATTTAGGTTGGTTGTTATATTATATATGTCAATATGTTTTCGGAAGATTACATATAATTTAATATATAATGTGCTTCGAATGAAATAAAAATAAACTAAAGTGATTGACTCTAGAATAAATAAATTAATATAACAAAACTATTCACAAGTCTCATGCATATATATAAATTTAACAGAAGAACTAAATTTCAACAGTCGGTTAATATTTTATTTTCATTTTTAATATGTTTTGAGTTGTCTTATAATTCATTTATAAAATTAATTATTATTATTATAAAACTATATATTATTCGTATACTTAAATCTTTGATTTTATATATAAGTTGGATTAGTAGAGTCATTTATGTTGTAAGTATATTAAGTTACATATATTCTTTCAAATTCCAACTAAAGTGTAATTATTTCTATTATAATTAAATAATATGAAATTATTTTTATTTATCGCTTAAATGTTAATAATATTTATCAATAAGAAATTACACACATAAGTAACTAATATATTTTTGAAAGCTCATGAACACATACCAATATTTACAATAATTGAAATATTTTATAAATTCTAAATAATGTATGCCTAAAATTTATTGTGGAAAACTGAATTTTTCCACATAAAAAATATTGTTATAATATTTTAAAATATTTTATAATTATTTGATCAAAAGATGTTTATTGTTAAACTTTATTTTATTTTTTAATATCTTAAAAATAAGCAGTAAAAAATTGTGATTGTATTTGAAAATCATATTACATAAGTAAAATATAATTTACAGATATTTTTTGCTGTAATTGAAAGATATTATAGTCAACTAAATATAATAAAAAATAAAACATTTCAATAATACTAATTATAATACTATTTTAGTCACTTAAACATATTTCAGTTTATATTATTTATTTACTTAATCATCTAAAAAATTAGATAATTATATAAAAAATATTTCTAATACTTTAAAAGTATAGATTTTGTATTGTTAAAAAAATTTTAAAGGAATAAAATTCTTTTTATAATATCAAAATTATATATGAATTATCCCTCTCGTCTTTTTTTTTTATTTTAAATGTCCATGTAGTGTGGAATATATTAATTTAGGTCTTTTCTCATATACACAACACATTAATTTTTACAGTGTTATGAATTATTGCATTTTTATATTAGAGTGGGTTTTTTGTTCTTATACTTTTAAAATATTAACAAAATAATTATTATAATAATTATAGGTTCTGAAGAATACTTCTACCCATCATTTGACTAATTATAAGACAAGCTCCTCAAATCAAACCTAAAATAACATATAGTTTGATAAAACACCTCTGTGGTCTAAAAGTATTCTTACATTAATTCTTTTACTATCTTTGATTTCTTTGTGAAATATCTCTTGGTTACGAATAAAAGAAGTTGTTTACTACAAAAAAAAACTAAAGAATTATTTATTTAAAATAGATTATTAAAATATTTAGTTATTTAAAATCAAAATAAGGAATATTTCCAATAAGAAGTTATATATCACAAAAAAAGAGATATAAAAACATCTAAATTCATTACTTTTGCATATTTTTACACACAAAAAAAACTTAAGCAAAATATAAGAATTTTTCGAGTAAAATGTAAGAATAATATATGAAATGATAACTAAAGAAAGCAGATGTGAAGATTTGAAGTAATGACTAGTTGACAAAGCGAACTTATAAGATGATAAGTTTCACTATGACCAGATGTGAAGACTTGAAGAATACCAACCAGAATGATATAAAAGATTTTCTTTTCGTTTTATTTTCAAAAGAAAACTGTTAAGGCTACATGATAAAAAAATAACACCTTCCATGTTAATGAAACAGCTAAATGTAGAACATATACACATCTCTCCATATCAAAAATCAGAACTAATTCCCCTTTCATTCNGGAGATTGGGACGGCGGGGAGTTCCTTCGCCGTGTCTGCTCCGCCTTCGGCATGATTAAGTTTTTTTTTTTTTTTTATAACGACTGCTTTATTGATTACTAGGAGGAAATGTAATCTATGTGAAGGTCTACAGAAATCGACCTTGGAACATAGTTATAGTGACGATTTCATCTTTGCGTCGTTATCATACTTTTTTGTTGTACCAATTTAATTAAGAAGCAAGGGCAGTTAAGTCATTTTGTTGTTAAGAGAAGTGTGTCGAGAGCAAGAAGTGTCGATATAAGAAACCTCCACAATGTAATTGTTTCAATCTACAATTTCTCCTTTTTACACACAAAAGATTTGCACAAACTATGCCTTCCGTCTGCCCCCCTGCTGAACAATCCTCGAATAGCGGGCAAAGGTGGGAAGACTTCGCCTTAGGGTTCTTCCTTTGTCTCACACTGGTCCTCGTCTTCCACTTTTGCAGAAGATGCATCCGACAGGGAGGTAAATTTGCATGGGCCTTCTCGACTCCGGTTGCTTCTTCCTCATCAGCACCGGCTGCACCGGCTGCACCGTCAGACGACGTCGAGGCACAGCCGTAAGTGTCAACCTGCTTAATTTTATGTCGTTATACTAAATTATAAATGTATAGTTTTTGCTTCAGACAAGGGCATTGGGAGTGGTCGGAGATTGGGATGGCGGGGAGTTCATTCGCCGTGTCTGCTCCGCCTTCGGCATGATTAAGTTTTTTTTTTATATACCGACTGCTTTATTGATTACTAGGAGGAAATGTAATCTATGTGAAGTTCTACAGAAATCGACTTTGGAACATAGTTATAGACATATGTAAAAATATTTTTATTTAGAAATATATAAATTTTGTTTTAAAGTCTGACTCGTCGTTGACGAACTCTGACTCCGATAAAAATCATAAGAGAGTAGAGGAGGAAGAGGAGAGAGTGAGAGAGTGAGAGAGAGAGATGAAGAAAAGAGAGAGAGAGAGAAACGAGAGAGTGAAGAAGTCATTATAATTAATAATCACTTTAGGTAGTGTTTAGGAGTTGATTCATTGAATAAGTCACTTTAGAAAGTTCAGTTTGTGGTCTTTTTTTTATAACACTAATACGTTTGAATATTTAAGATAATACAAACTAAGAAAGGGATAAAAGAGGGTAGAGGAGATATCATTAGACATCATAAACAAAAGAGCATTAAGATCTCACCCACCCTCTAATTGCTGAACCTCCAAAACGAGTAGATGATGTAGCCATACGGGAGCATTGCTGACGATGTAAGACTGATGGCGGTGATCGCGAGTGACACTTATTGCGTAGAAAGTTCAGTTTGTGGTCTAAAAACTATTTATTGGGTGAATAAGTTAAGCGTATAAGCTCTGCCTAGACTACAAATATCGTCTAGAAAGTTGGATATAGCGATTTCTAATCTATACTATTAAAGCAGATGACTGTTTTGGTTTCTGTCCCTGAACTTTCTAGGAAATTACAAGATTTACCTCTTTTTTTTTTTTTAAATATTGCAAAACTGGACTTTTTCTTTTTATTAAATGGGCTTCACGAAATATTAAATGGGCTTCACGAAATAGACTTCAATATTTCAGATCTGCAAATGGGCTATAACATCTTCAAATGTTATAATCCTATACCCTAAAATCTATTCAAATAATCATATACCCTAAACTCTATTCAAACCCTATGCAAACCATATCTACAATCCAGTTCCCTAACCTTATTTTATGTACAGTAACTGAAATGTGATTTATAAATACTAACTCTATTCAAATTAATCCAATACTAATGTATTCCCTAAACCTTATTTTATGTACAGTAACTGAAATGTGATTTATAAATACTAACTCTATTCAAATTAATCCAATACTAATGTATACAATCTTAGTTCTTAAATAAATCCTATATGTTATGCAAATTCACACGATAATGAAAATTCCGAGAACTGAAACCCATGTTAAACAACTGATAATTTCCAGTAAGATTATGAATAACAATA